TTTTACACCACATATAATCGAACGTATCAAATAAAATGCATCCGTAATGTTATTGTAATATTTGTCAAAAGTGACTTACTTAACGGTGGGAACATATTTTCATGCACTACTCATATTTATATGCAAATAAGTTTTCTATAACTCGGAAACGAAAATGTCTATTTTTTCAAGTATTGCTAATCTCGCGCTTTTTTAATTTATTTATTTTAAACTTTTACTCATATTTCAACTATTTATAGTTAAAATGACAGGAAGGGATTCTGGAACTCAAGAAAACGTGCGCAGATGATCTTCTCCCCCATACGTCACATACAGTTTTCACTGGTTTTCTTTACTAAATAAATCTAAATCCATCTTATTGGTTGTATTTTTTCAAATATTTAGTCTGACTTGAATAGTAACTTGATGATCGGCGTCCGATATTTGAAGCATCTAATAAGCACGTTGGGTGATGTTCTTCAGGCCATTTTCTCCACTTACTTTCTCATATGCATACGTATATGCTGAATAATATATGTAATACACAAAAAAGTTATGTGATGCTGTGGCGAAAATTGTCATTTTTTCGTCAGAAACTCTCATTTTATGGCTCCCTGGCACCGAAAAAAAACCGATTTTTCTTGCTTTTATTCATAATAAATTACTTTCTCTAATACGTAGTGCAGACATAATTCATATGTTTTGGTTACTTATTATGGTAAAGCTTTTTCTTACTTTTCTCAAAACATCTGGCTATCTGAGAACATTTGCGCCTAAACCTTTCGATGGTTTTTTTTCCAAAATCAATTTTTCCCGATCGATCTCACTCGAATAAATGTCCTGGTATTTTGGAAAGAATTCTTTAAAGTTCTAGTACGAGTATATTTGACATGAAGTCCCTGGATCATTTTCAAATTTTCTCAAAAAGTCTTCAAATTTTATCTTAATATTTCTTGGAAGAATATTCTAATAAATAAACTAACAAAAAGATGGCATATTCGTAGTTCCTATTTATTTGTTCTCAGCAATTATTATTTAATTAATGTCACGTACATTGTACAAACATAATGTACACGTACACGTAAATAATGTCACGTACAAAATATTAGAAGTTTTTGCTAACTTTTGAATGAAATATGGTTTCCTGTGGTGTTCTGGTTGCAAAAGAAAAAGCTGGCAAAAGTATCATTGAGCATCAACGGATGTCACTGCGGGGCCTCTGACCGGCAGGCCCTAGGTTTCGAGTCCCGACAATGGCAGGATTTTCGACACTGGCTAGATAGATGGGTCGAATACAGCCGCTGTCTGGAGGACAACTCAAGCAACCGGCTGCTCTGATCTGTAGTTTTCCGTCGTTTCTCCAATCAATACCAGGCGAATGCAGGAGCAATATTCTAACAAACGGGCCACGAACTGCACGCGATCTACCCTTTTTTTCTCTTGCCCTTTCCTCACCCCTACTTACACACACACTCACATGTAGTACACTACTACTTTTCGAAGACCAGTCGGAACCTTAGAGCTTGACCAGACTGGGACGGTGCTACGCTGGTGGGAGATACCTGGATTGGTATTATTCCTGCAAGCCGTCGTAGGTTGGCGCCAGATCTCGCCATCCAGCGGGCAAGATCACGGCCACCTCCCGCGATAGAAGCATGCGACACAACAAACGAGACTATGGATCTTAGCAGTTGACGCACCCGGAATAGCATATCAATCAGGTTTCAAATGAAAATATTACAGCGCGCTTCGTACCTACGTCAGCATTTAAATTTCCCAAAGAGAAACCGGAAGCGGTTGAGAAATGTATGAGAACAATTCTAGAGGCTCAGAATGAATAATGAAGCTATATTGAGCTTTCATTTTAAATCGTTTGTAGTTAAAAGTCTGTGATTAGGGAAGATATTTTCAATGTTTTCAACTATGGGTGCGTGTGCCATCATAGCACGTCCTTGGCACTATATTCTGACGTTAAGTAAAATATGTATTTTCTGACATATTTAAGAAAGGTTAAATACATACGAATGTACATAGTATGCTTTTTTATTACCATTAATTCTGTCCCCTATTTAAGTTTATTGTGGTGAATATACCGTTATCAAAACGGGGCAGTCTGTTAAATACTTCAGTAATTTCAAGAATTGAGGAGAAACTAGGGGCTGAATCTTTTAAGACCTTTCTATAAAAAAGTTATATGGATAAAATCTAAAAATAGGACGTTTTGGTTGACTGGTAGTGTAAAAAGAAATAGACTATGGCGTTTTCTCCTAAAGTAGAATAGACTTCGGGAAAAGCCATATACGCGAGACTATTAGACTACATATTCGCTCCTGGATTGACTTAGCGTTTGAGGTCCAATCCCGGAGTTAATATCCCCCCCCCCCGCCCGAGGCGACAATGAAGCGCAGCAACAAGTCATGCGGGCGCCCCTCCCCGCCGTGTTTTCCTTCGCTCCCCGGCTGCCATTCGCCTAACGCAGTTGGAGGTTAGGCATTTCCGCCCAGCGCGCCGCGCCGCCCCCTCCGCGTACGATTGTTGTGACTCATCGCGCGTCCCCGCCCGCGGGCGGGGAGGGGTGGGGCGGGGCGGGCCTTCCTTGATTTGCTTAGCGGAGCGACAAGTGTCCCTGGCACTCGAGGCCCACGCGGAACGCAGCGGGGCTGTGATTTAACTCCGCGCGCCGCCGCACCGCGTTAGCGCCGACGGGGGGGGGTGGAAGGGACCGGCGCCTGGAACAAGGGCGAACACGGGGCGGCCTACCCCAGGGTTGGCTACATGTTCTCATCCCAAAAAGTCCACACGTTTTTCTTTTAACATGGAAAAACTCTGGAAAACCCATTGGAATGTTTCAATGATTTTTTAAACATTTCAAATAAAATAAAAACATAATTTTATATATCGAAATATTCATTAAAAACTCATAATTTAATCACAACAAACGCGTACAAAAAAATTCGAAACTCAACAAAAGTGTAAAACAAAATAAACTAGCCATAAAATAGAAACTTCAAGTGTTAGAATTGAAAACTCCAAATTGAATACATCAATCATACTCGAACAAAACCGTCTCGACGGTGAAAGATTTTCGACACTACGTAGATAGATTGAGATTAGTTGCTGCCTGTATGAGATTTCTAAGTGCTGGCTGCTCTACTAGGTAGTTCTCCGTGGTTTCTCCAACCATTATCACGCACATTCCGGAAAAGTAACCTAATAAACAGACCACGGACCATTCGTGATATTCCCTTCCTATTCCTTGTCTCCTATTCTCCCCTTAAACACACACACCACATAAACTTACACCACTCTACATGCCAGGAGATCAGTCGGGCGCTTAGAACTGCCGGCTGGGGCGGTGACCCAATAGGGAAGACACCTGGTGGTGGAAATTCCCGCAAGGCGACGTGAAGGTTGGCGCCGGATCTCAACATCTAGCGAGAGGAACACCGCCACCTTCCGGGATAAAAAAAATCACTATTGGGGCTAACGATCATAGCAGTTGACGTGCCCGGGAACAATCAATCAATCATGCCGGGCTGTCCGCGCTAGTGACTACTCAATGCTTTCGCCGAGTATGCTACTTGCTTCCTTTCCGGTGCCACATCCGTTCCAAGTGATATACATTCCGCTCGACTGCCCTTGCAAGACAATCCTTGGCACATAGCGCAACAGGGCATCTATTTTAAAGGTCGTAAGTATCATGACCTTGCAGCGCGCACAGGTTTTTTCAAATGCTTCGCCGTAAATCCATCATCACCCATCGTCGCAAATCTTCAATGTCTTTAAGTCATTGAAAAAAAGGAGCACTTGTTTGAGGACATTTCTGCTTAGGTGGTGACAGTTCCAAGAAGCAGAACTGGAGACGACGACATTGTATTATACTGACTACTGTCATTTGTACTATCTTGCGCGTTGCAGCTTTGCTCCTTTGTATGTGAGTAGGTACTGCCATCGACGTGCGACATCAGCTGTTTGACAGCAAAGTCCTTCATGAGCGAGGCTTTTGGGGTTTCTTCAACAGTATCTCCGTAAACACATCCGTAAATCGATACCGTCACCCTGTATCTATTTCACAAAAATACGAGAAAGTAAAATTAAGGATAAGTGAGGAAATTAGCATGAAGTAAAGTAAATGGCGCAAGTTCTATGATCTTTCAACTTTCTCCGACAGCATAGACGTTGACAGCACCAGTTGACGTCGAAACTAGTTGGGGCTAAAATATCATATACTTTCTCGCATTATTTGTAACGGCCTCACAATATTGTACTAATACATGAACCTATAAAAATCTTTTCAACCAGCAATAATTGTTTTCCAGGCCCAAACTCGAACTCAGATCCACCGAATTAACTCCCCATCGCCTTACTGCTAGCCATGCAAGCCCCTCTATCGTAACTTCGGCCGACGCTTAAATATCGAATAGTCTTGCCCGTTATTTCCAACACCGGATTTTCGAAAATTCAAAGAGATCAACGGAAATGAGAACTACGCCATTCATTTAAGCGTTCTGTGCTTTATCTGTAGAGAATATTTGAGGCGGTTTCCAAGAAAATGTATTAAAGAAACATATTTCATTATTGAAAAAATCTCTAACTTCAATATTGTAGGAAGACGTCAAAACAATTTGAAACTTTGCAATTTTCGAAAAATCTGGGATTTCAACGAAAATATCTTTACCGCCTTCTTTATGCTACCAGAAGACAAAGTATAAGAAAAAAATTGGGAGCCTTTTTGAGAACATTTTGAAAATGTTGAGGCTTTATGTAAAGTATCCTCAAAAATCAAAATATCCGGTTGAAACTTGCAAAGCCTCGAGTCCCTTCGTATCGATAGGAGAAAGTCAAGTTTGAAGAAAATCGGCTGAACTGTGTGCCAAGACGGTCGTCGGAACAAGGACCCACAAAACATGGGTTCTGACTACACCCCGTGTTAGAAGTAATTTACAATATATAGGAACAAGAGTCATCATTTTCGTGCATAAATAATGTGAGGTACAATAAACACAAGGAAATAAACAGAAAATATGAACAATTCATTACAGGTCTTTATTTACATGTTTATGATTCTTTCAAACATTAGCAATGCAGATTAAATGACACAAAGACAAAATTGTATGTATTACACAAAAATAAAAATACCAGAACATTACACACATGATTAATGTATAATATGAGGCTTACAGAAACAATTTGCCCCAAATACTGGAATTTGCAAAGAAAAGAATTTTTCATTTTTTTATCATCTTTATAATATAAAAATAAAGTTCTGAATAGGAGTTACATCTAGTTTAATAAAGCTTTTACACAAGTCGATGCATCTGGTTTTATAAAATACTGAGAGTCATGGGAATACTTTTACATAATAGGATTTTCTAAATGATATAATGAGCTTGAGCTTAAGTCATGAACATGTTTCACCAATAATTCATTACTGTAGGTTTTTATTAAATGCATCATTAGAATTGTTAAAAAATAAAATATTAAAGCATGTTATGAAGAATTAACATGTTATTATTAACTTTAACTGAACTTAATACAATTAGGAATTCAAAATAATGTGCATACCCTAGATGGGTCACCCTATTCATTGTCTTACAGTAAAATATGAACGAAGTCTTTAAAAATTCAAGAACACTGAAATGAATTACAGAGAATTATAGTTGAACGTGAATCATATGAGAGAGAATCCTTCATTATATACAATCTTGAAAAGCTGATTACCATAAAAGACGTCGTCGCCCTACACTCTGCAAAAAGACAAAACATAACATTCTAAATAACACACTTAATATCAAACGTTGATATATCCGTGCAAAACGACTAAAGGTTTCATGTAAAGAGTTTGTTAAATAAATTAAATGGATGAACTCTCAATTCCTGAAAAAAAGGTGTTAATTGGGGAAGACGTAGAACACTTTTTGAAATAACAAACAAAATGCTAAATACTGACTTAACTTAATAATACTTGACTTCACTTAATCAATAATTACAAATGTTATCATTTCTAAATGTAAAGTTCAAACATTAAATTGGAATACGTATATATCCCACGCTTTTAACCAAGGAGGAAACTATTTTCAAAACTTATTAAAACAGCTCTGATTTGGCTTAAAAAAGAATTAGTAAAAGTCCCTAAAAAAACTGACAAGAACACAACAATTAAATACAACAAAGGTACTCCCAAAATTTTATTTCTTACACACAACAAAGGTCTCCTCGGAAAGATACCTCAGGACAACAGCAAACTAATCTCCAGCAGTAAAATGAATCTGACCAACAGCAAATTTCATTATACTAATATTGCCATTTTCATATCTAGATTGGACCAATTCCACATTGACTTTGAAAAACATAAGCCATTCATAATCCTAAATGAGACATGGTTTAATCCAGGAATTCCCAACCTTTTTCCTGACCCTCTTTTAAAGGAATTGTCGGCTCCATCAGTGTCAGTGTGATCCTCTAATGTTATTCTGTGTAATATAATATATACAATCATTAGACCCAACATTGCATGTAAATATCTTAAAAATAACAATTTCAATTTCATAAACCGATATTTTTGTAAATATCTAGATTTTCAATAATTGAAGACACTTCTGCTTCTGTGTAGCTGAATTTCTAATACTCATTGTTGAACAACGGTTACAAAATTATGAGCGTTTTTAACTATCCATACCATTTCTCCAGGGCGTGTTGCAGCAATTCTTACATGATAGAATGTAGCTGTGAATATATAGTTATAATTCATTGGCTTTTCCAAACATTCTGCAATTTTGCGTACTTAGATTCTTAGATACACTGGTGCAGAAAATAGAAATTGGGCCTGCATTTCCAATAAACGTGAAATTGGAAGGTTAAATCTAATTGTGAAGCCCTACAATAATAAGGCTCAAAGGAGAAAAAAAAGAATGGAATGCTGTTTGTTTTATTCTTTGCCGATATCCATGTGCAGGAGTCCTTATTTAGGGTCTCTAATTTCTGGGGAATGGTAAGATGCACTGATACACCAGCCGAAGTAAGCTCCTCATCTTAACGATGAAACAACGGATTCGAAAGAAAAGGGTCAGATTTTATATTTATTGCTTTGTTGCTCTTAACAATTAATCAACTTTTAACAATTAAAACAATTAATTATCAAGTTCATTTAATTGTAATAAATTGTAATAAATTAGTTCTTGATTATATCTACCAATTACCTGTTCATATTCGGCTATAGACCCCCAATTACCCCTTGGTCATCACAGACCCCTTTCAGAACTCCACCAACCCCCAGGTCGATACCAATCCCATTAGGAACTCAGGTTTAATCAGAATATAACATGATAACACTTGATGATTAGAAAGCTTTCCCTACAGTTAGGCAAAATAGGAGAGGGGCGGATTTATCATATATGACAATATTCCATTTAGTCTCCCACATCGATGACCTACATGATGACTCTGAGATCCTATGAATGAAAGTACAACATTAACAATTCTGAAAATAGCTGCCTTCAAATATTGTAACTGAATAGGACGTTAATATTCTGTGACAACTGAGAATGCCTAGTCATCAAAATTACACAATAATTATTTTTAGTAACCAACTTGCCATCAATACCATGGCCCTAACCATCAACAACAAACACATCTCCAGCTGCTCGCGAGTACATGGACACATTTACTTCCTCAACGTTTTCACAACTCCTCAATCAACCCAGTATATAGGGATATACAGGTCCCCAGACTTGATATGAATGACAGAGATGCTTTCACTTCACCATCCTGCCACATACCATTTGGCAAGAGTGATTAAACCATACTCACCACATCAAATTTGAAATTTTGATTTCAAACCATTTTGAATGTTTTTTCATCAGAAATCCATATTTCACTCAGAAGAAAATCTTTTGAGTGACCAAACTTAAATGCCATGAAAACTTCTCTCTAATAATCTCTGGAACCAGATGATGGACAAGATCTCCATGAATTGTAGATTATCTTTAAAACTAAATATTTGGAGATATTTCTCCATCATTCTCCAAATCAGGCAAACAGCGCTACCGATCCAAACCTTGGATTAAACAATCGGTACTTGAGAAAATACAGTCAAACCATGATACAGCACCGTATTCCGCTACCCTCAGTATCGCCCATCACAATGGGCAATCATTCTCCTATTACTAATACATGATAGTTAGAAATGCCACTGATGCCTGCCGTCATTCGCCATGGAATGCAGAGGTACAGAAAGTTCTGACAAAGAAGTGCTTTTTTCTCGTTTCATTTGTACACATGAAGAACTACTATGTAGTTTCATTTTACAGTAGTATCTCCTTCCTTCCGACCTCGCTCACTTTCCAAGCAATTATTTTGACCTGCTGGTAGTGTGTGCATGATCGGCAAGTGAACGAGTTTCACTGATAAGGAGAAGTGTGAACTAAGTATTTATGGAGAAGAAAATCCATCTGCATGTCAGCAGAATAAACGATTCAAATTATTTTTCGTTTGGTTAACCGAAAAGCAGATGAAGTGCGGTTGATATTCTTAGCAAAAAACGTAAATGGATGCAGAAAACATGTCTGTCTTCTAAGAAACTCACAAGTGCAAAATGTGAGAAACAAGAAGATACTCGGGTTGTCAGAAAAACTCCAAATATGGAACTGCAACTAATGAAGTAGTAAAGAAGCAAGCTAAGAATATTTGTGACAAATTAGGTGATGGGAATGGCATGCGGTAATTGTTTGCTGTTTCATTTTAAAACTAGTGGAGCTACAAGAGCAGATACTTTCTGACATGCTTTCTAAATTTGCAATTTTCAGAGACTTCATCAAAAATAAGATTCGCACCATTTTTTACACGTTCCTTCTTCTATCCATGGAAAACAATTGAAGAAAATAAATTTCAGACACATATTACGCGAAATGTACTTTGTTTTCAAAAAAATGTACATTCCTTTTTTAAAGAGCTGATTTTTTGGAAATATATTTTGTCTAAGGCAAAACTCTCTTTCTTCAATTTTGTAGTTTTAAAATGTTAACTTTTTGTAATCTTCGAAAAAGCGGAGTTTAGGAGAATAGGAGGAGAAGAGGAGGAGAATAGGTTTTACTGTTCCTTGACACATAGGAAAAAATTTAAAGAATAAATTTGCCACTTTGGAGCAAAAATTGTTTTTAGCAATTAAAATTGCCTCTATTTCACGCAAGATTACATGAAAACTACTCACATATTCGAAAAATTGAACATGATCTTATTTCATATCTGTCTCTAAAGAAGAGATTTTATTAAGGAAAAAAATATCTGTATTCAATATTATTGTTGTGGGAAGTCGCCCAAAAAATTTAAACTTTTGCAATTTTCAAGAAATCTGGGATTTCAACAAACATGAGACTTGGTACCATTCTCCTACATGTCCATTACTCTATTTGAGAACAAAGTTTAATCAAAAACTTTGGTGCCATTTTTGAGAAAATATTGAAAATATTTTTAAGGCTTCTTGTAAAGTACCCTCAAAAATCAAAACATCCGGTTGAAACTCCCAACACTCGAGTTCGTTCAGATCGATCAAGGAATACTCTGAATTTTGGAGAAAATCAGATGAACGGTTTAGGTACTAGCATTGACCAGAGACAGTCGTTTTGCCATCTACCAATGTTTCGGTATCAAAGACCCACAAAACATGGAAAATGACTACACCATGTGTTAGAGGAAATAATTTCACATATATAGCAACAGAATTTATCCCCCTTTTCGTTACCAGCGCCCGGCAGTAATAGATATTCTGCAGAAAATTCAGCATTTTCGTGCGTACAATTACATAACTTTCCCTTCTTATGAAGTAAGTGCAAGAAAATAAAAATGTCATGGACTTATGCAGCGCAAGAAACATGAAGAAACAGCAGAACGTGATGCATTAATTGTGGAAGAAGGTCGCAACATACAGACAAATATAATCAATGGTTGTACACAATCAAAAGGCAAATAATTCAATCTTCTGGTTGGATAAAAAACTTGGAAGTCATCGTACCAGACGATTTGAAATGGGAAGCCCACGTCAAGCAAGTTGAAGGCGAAGAGGGCATTATTCCTGATTTGAAAAACTTCGATTTCTTGACATGTCATCTATCACAACGCTTTAAAAAACAAATGTTCTGTCAGTGCTAGAACACACTTCTACTATCTGGAGCCCAGATTTCATCAGATGTCATACGAAGAATAGGTGAGCAAACTAAACATTCCACCTATATCTACCGGAAGATAACGCATACGCTACTGAAACCTTCAAAATTCTCTTCAGCCACTATCACTCCCCTGAACTCACCAGCTTCGACCCTAGACCCTCCAACAGAAACTTGAGAGGACGCAATATGAAACTGAAGAAAGCCAAATTTAGACATATCAGCCACACGAACATCTTCACTAACCAGGCAGTGCAACAGGTTTGGAACTGCCTACCACAAGAATTAATCTCACCCACCAGTATATAACAGTTTCAATTACTTTATAACAGACTTGGCATCCTATGGTAGCATTGTTATGACATTATGTTAAAATTTTATTACATAAGTGAGATGTCAATATGGTAATAACATCTCTTATAATCTACTTTTACATGTACATTGATTGGGGTATAATCAGTTTTGCTGCCACCTCATGTACCTATAAATAAATAAATAAATAAATAAAATTCCTGTTCTCCAGACTTTTTCAAATTTCCGGTATTCAAGATTGCTGACCACACATTTATATTGCGTAATTTATCACAATTTTAATTACGTAATAGCAATCATAGTAATAATAAACATGCCTTTATCAATGTAAAGGTTGAGGCCTACTCCTCCTCTAGGGCACCCAAATATTTACATGTCTGTACTAAGATTGGGAATGCCAAAATTTTCATTTACTCTTGGGAGTACAAAACAAATGATATTGCAACATACACTTTCGCAAATGAATAAACTCATTTAAACTACAATCAGGATGGTGGATTAAGGCCAAACAATGAAAAAGAAAACAATGTAAACATGAAATATATACAACACAATAATAATGAGAACAAACATTATAGAAAGACACTAATGTAAGAAAAATATTCAGTCTTACAGTAACACCATACAGAAACTATTGTTGAAACATTGCATTCAATACAATGTATTGCAGAGTACTATTGTCTGATGATGAGCATTTTCTTCAAAATGTCACCCTTGCAACATTGACTTAAAGTAAATATGATATAAATGTTTAAATAGCCTGATTGTCCTTTATCAAAGAAAAACAATAATATTAAATAAATCTTAATAAACAAATATCCAAATACATGTTTCTCATACAAAGTAGTTTCTCCAACACAAGTTGCCAAATCAACAGCATAACTGAAGCAACGTGGGCCTCACCTGTGGGCGATATCCTTCCACTTGCATGCGAGCCAACTCTTGCTGTAGTTTCTCTTCTTCCTGACGCAGCTTCTCAGCCTCCTCCTCGGCTGCTTTGCGCTCCTCCACAGCACTTTCTGCCTGCAGGAGCTGCTTCTGCTTCACCTGCCAAGCACACACACCATAAAAGTGCCACTGCGGAGCGACTTTATATATATATATATATATATATATATATATATATATATATATATATATATATATGAAAGACAGGGGGGGTATGGAGTATATGTATAAATAAATATTTTGTATTGGTTTTTGATTTTAAGTTTGATAAAATATTTATTTATACATACACTCCATACTTCTCCCCCATCTTTCATCCATATACAGCTATGACATATATTTATGTAACAGAATTTCGAGCTGAAGAAAGATTTGGAAGGACAATTATGAATTCCCTAATTACAACACTTCCCAACATATATGCATCTTGCGAACAATATATTTCTATCTCCTCAGATGCTTTAATAATTCTACTGACAAGACATCTAAACCAGGCCTGTTAAGGCAAAAGAATGAATTTTGAAAAGGCAAAATTTTAGAATGGGGTAACATCTCAACACATGACAATTCCCAATACTCATGCTTATACCAAATGAAGAGGTAAATAAAATAAAACAATTACATTTTTTGTTTCAACTATTAAAGATTATTTTTTCCAAAGAAAAAAAAGAAGAAGAAAAGAAAAGAAGAAAAAACCAGTTCCCCCCCCCATTCTCATTAAGGTAAATGCACAATAAAAGTAGCAAGCAAGGAACAAAATACATAAAACTTTAAAATTGAAGTTCTATTTATTATACAGTTACATCACAACTGCTTACCTGTAAATCAAGCTCAGTCCTTTGCAATTCTTTAGCCTTTAGCTTTGCTGCCTCTTCTTCTCTGAGTTCTGCATAAGCAGCTTCCACTGAAGCTACAAGAGCCTTCTGAGCTTCCACAACTTGTTGCTGTTCTTCAAGGTTCTTCTCAATTTTCTCTTGAACCTGCCACATACCACGAAAATATCTACATTATTAATTTTCACGGCGCAAAGGAATTAAAATAAAACTATGCAACCTCTTGTCATGCAAGAGATGTTGTATCCTCCAGTCATGTGTTTTGTTAAATTCCTAGGAATGAGAAACATCAAAAACAATGAAACACTTTCAATTTTCACTGAAAAATGCAAGTATTTGATTAAGATCCTCTGCCTATTCTCATACAACATAAAACTAGTGAATTCTTACACTCAGTATGTCACTGCATATGACACCACTGATGTCATGTGTAAACAAGGCTCCACAGAAGAGGCTGCCTGGCATTAAATAATGGCTACTTAAAGGTTGAATTTTGGAACCACAACTTTTTTTATATTCTTGGCATGAAAGAACTGTTGTACTTTATATAAACTATACTATGTTTATTCCAGTATTTGTGAAGACTGTTTTTGTGAAAATATTCAATATGTTGCAGTGTTATACAAAAGTATGGATTTAAGACATCAAAAGCAACGGAAACAGCCATATTATCTTTACTTAAAGATGTAGCTTCATACATGGCTTCAAGGATGTAGCTTCACCATCAAAATAAAATACCTATTGGAACAGATCTTTCAAAAGCTTTTGTCGTCACTGTTCATTACATTTTACTTTCAAAATTACTTTCATATGGTATTTGTAGTATTGTTTTAGATTGGTTATGTTCATACTTTAAACAATGATCCCAGAGAGTATAAATAGGAACGATGGAACATTATTTACTTATCTTTCTTATTCATTGTTAATTGCACACAGGGTTCTGTACGATTCGATTTTATGCCCTATTCTCTTCCCACTATATGTAAACAATTTGCCCTCATTGATTTGCCATTGACTGATGTTATGGTAACAAATTGTTTGGGTCTATCAACAGTTGTATGTTACAAACTAATGTAATCAATTGTATTAACTATAGTGATACATGATAAAGGGAAAAGAAGGATTCTGAAATTTGTGAAAGAACATTTTCATTAATAAATTATATAGGTGACATAATAGGTTGTTTCTATAATTGTATGGGAAATACATAAGGTATGGGTGTCCAATAAAACAAAATATAGGATGAAATATAATAAGAATCCTACTGAATTGAATCTAGACATTGATCTAGACAATTTAGAACAGAAGAGAAAAATTTTGAAATAAAACAATAATGAAAGAAATGGAAACAGGAAACTTAGCAGAATAAATCAAAAATTACCACAGGAAATGGAGAAAACATGTAAAAAGAAAGGACAAAAGACGTCTACCACTGATGGCAGTACACTATAGACCGAATGTCAAGAAGGATAGAGGCAGACCGACAAGACCATGGAACCAACAGGAACACTTCGCCACATGAAGGAACACTGCTTTACTAATCACTAATAGGACAGGAGCAGCGCTCCTAAACATAGGGTGTTGTTGTTGTTGTTGATGCTGATGATGAATTGAATTTAGCATTTGTTATGAACCCACATGTGTTGGCTGTATTTTACAAGACTTAACAAAGGCACCTTAGTAACATCTGTACTCTAGAAATGTCTAAGAAAGTTTTTAAAAATTGAAGGTTTACTCAATCACTACAACAGAAATCTACAACCAGACAACTAAATATAGATGGTTTTATAATTTAACCGATGTAACGATTCCTTAAGGAATCATAGACATAGAAACAGGTAGAATTTTAACTTACCAATTAAAAATAAAAAAAAGTAAGTCATTTTCAATTCATTAAGGATTCTGAATCTAACACGTTTAACATACCTGAATGTGTTCAAAGTACAATGAGTTCTTTAATTTCTAATAAACTTACTTACTTAATTACTTATTAAAATTGTTAGAAGTCCCCTAAAATATATCTCTAAAGAACAAATCAGTTTGCAAAACCTGCTCTTGACTGAGAAGTTTCTAAAAAATCACCCTAATTTAAAAATTATCCAATGCAATAAATGTGGTACTTCTAATGCAATCATGAGAGATGTGACTAAGGTAGATGCTAATTATTCCCATGGCACCAAATTTTAACTAAAGAGTATGTCATCTTTTAATAGCTATATGAAAATAATTCAGGAATTGCTCAAGAAGTAGAAAAATAGTTCCTATATTTTGATAATAGAATTTAATCTCATGTACTCTACCACACCAAATATAGCCTTTGCATATGTGTTTTTAAAACTCCACAAGCATTATCTTCTGATGTGGCTGGTAGTATCTTTGGATGGAACAATTAATAATTTTTTGTGGCATTTTTTAATCAAATTCTTAACCCTCTTTTTATAGAAAGTTATAGTTATGCCATAAAAAAGGTTTGAATTAATTAGTAAATTGAGTACTGTCAAGATGAATCTTGATCTTAGGTACGTGTCACTTGTGACCACCATGAATCCTTCAATCCCTAACTCTTTAATTAAAGAAATGTTGGAGGAGTTTTGATCTATGAACTCTTGTATTTTCTTGTATTTATGAACTTTGAAAATTTGTATTTCACCTGACACAAATAGGGATAGCAGTTTGAACTATTCTGAGTGATATAGAACACAGGTTCCCATGATTGGTATAGACCAAATCAGGGTCAAGGAAATATTGAAGGGGGTCAACAATAATCTAGAGGTCATTTGGGGTTCAGTAGCCAAATATGAACTGTGCTTGATTAGTATATTCAAGATCATTTTGATTACAAACAAACACTCTTAATTGTTTTCTGGTATAATGCAAAAACCTTCAACAATAAATTACAACTTCACTCCTCTATTTTCAATGTCACTTAGGAGGAGGTTTACAAAACACTAGCAATTGTAACTATGCATTCACAATGATACTCTCACTTGCAAGAAAAAACTCTCCACAAAGCACTCTAGAGAAATATCAGTTCTTAGAAAAGACTCAACATTTTGTAACCATTGCATTAAAATGAGGTTTAGAAACTCAGCTACTCCAAACGAAAGCCTCTTCTATTATTGGTAATTGAGATATATATGAGAATATTGGTGTATGAAATTGTTGTCTTTAAATCATTATTGTACAATTCTCCGTGGCATGACTATGAATGGTGTATATTATAGAGAAAACATAAGAGGGGTTAATGAAGCAAACAATTACCTGAAAAGGAGTCGATAAAATAAAGGTTGGGAATCACTGATTTAGAGTTTACTTTCAATAGCAAAGTGTATCACCAATGTAAGGGCACACATATTGGTGATCCATTAAGTACTGTTTTTGCAGAAATGTTGATACATAAACGTGTTCAATAAGTTCTTCAACAAATAAAATTTGATCTCTATTTGTGGTGTGTAAATGATATGATCATCATTTTGTCACATGGTGCAACAGATTCTTTATTGAGTATTTTTAATTGGTATGACTCAAAATCTCAGTTAACCAGTGAAATGGAACAAAATTTGTAAATAAATTTCCTAGATGCTATCATCATTAATTTTGTTCCACTTAAGTGGTAAATTAAGTATTTTAGTCATATCAATTAAAAAAAAAAATCTGGAACAATATTTGCAAATTACTTTCCTAGATGTCATCATCTTTCGTAATAACGATAGCATTTCCATAAATTGGTACACTAAGTCAATATATGAAGGAATCATCTTAAACATTTTGTCTTGTCATCCTGTATCTATGAAAAGGTCTATAGTAATGAATTTAGTCAATAGGGCCATTAAGTTGTCATCTCCCCCATCCCATCAGTCAACTTAATACAAAATTTCAGAAATTGAAATTGAATAATTGCCCAGTTATATTTTTTAATAAATTAGTAAGACAGAGTTTGAAAAGTATTAACAACTAATATCAGAGTGATTACTCAAATTTAGTAACTTTATTTCTGAAGAAAGGAATATTTATATTTGTTTGCCTTTTATTCTTCTGATTAATAAACGCTTAAAAGAAGAGATAAAAGTTAATTTTGATATGAAGTTGTTAAACTGCATGTGCAATAAGATTCATATTGTTGTTAACTTAAGACGCTAGAGAGAAAAATATCTTTATAACATTTTTTAATGAATCAATGGTCAAAAATAATCAAAATTATACATTGTGCAAAAGTAGTTGAAAACATGTATATCAGAGCATACAAGAAATGAGAATGAAATTTCTGATTGACAGAATTCTATTACGATACACCAGCTGGACAGTGGTCATACTATGTTTTACAGATGTTGAAGTGTTGGAATCTGAACAGAAGTACTATTCTACGTTGATTCTTAAAGCACTACATATAAAAACCTCCAATTGCCTCTACCTACAGGTTGAACTGAAAACGTTCACATGCCTCCATGACTGTCTTGTAGAATTTTTCATATAAATAAGGTTTTGTAGGGTAGCTTGGTGTAGTTCTTTTCTTTTCATTCCTTTTAATTAAGTTGAAAGACAATCCCTGTTCTCATATTAAAAATTTAAGTTTCATCTAATGCATTTTGGAAACTCAGGAGAATTAGTTTGGTTTTGTTCTGTTTCATTTAACAGGATTTTGAATTAAAAATACTCAATAAAGAATCTGAAACAAAATTTGCAAATACATTTCCTAGATGTCATCTTTTGCAATAACAATAGCATTTCCATAAATGGGTACACTAAGTCCATCCCTCCTCCCCCTTCTCTTCCTTCCCCTTCTCCTAACTGACTGTCAAGAAAACTCCAGCCGCCAAAGTATTTCCATCATAGTAATTATGTAATTGACAGGAAAATACGTTCTTTTTTGCCATTTATTGGCAACTATTCTCACCTGTTGCTGCTGAGTTTGTAGAACTTGGGCAATCAATTTGTTGCGAGCTTCTTCCTCAGCTTTCCACACAGTCTCTAATTCATCCCACCTGCGCCGAGCTTCTTCTCTGAAATTCGAGTTACAAAAAATAGCTTCTTAATAATTTTATAAAATAGGCAAGTTATTTGTTTTAGACTACTGCAGTTTTCAAAATTGCACATATGTATAAATACAAGAGTATTATCTTAACCATAAAAATTTTTAAAACATTCAGAGTAATAAAATGAATTTATTTCAATGCTACAATGTTTGATAAATACCAATATTTTAGATACCTTCTTAATATTCCAGAACTGTATGTCTTTCACCATATTAAATGTGTCAGTTAATTCTCCCAATAAAGATATCAGATTGACTTAAAAATTAACAAAGTAAACACAGAATACTTATTGAAAATGGGCAGTTTATCAAATGATAATTCCACAGTATTATTGCACCTGGCAACAACAGGACACAAGGGAGATGGTATACTGATCTTCATTTACCAACTAATATAACTTGGAAACACTTTGAGTGTGAAACAGAGTTATCTATTCCTGCCACAATTTTTTTCAAATTTGACTTGCTTTTTATTTAGCAACATCACATTAGGCAAAATTATTCTTTGGAAATACCAAGAATCACATTGGAATTGCACATTTCAGAAATTAGTTTTTCTGTCAGTGATGTTTGTAAGAGAAAATGGAGTTTAGACTATAAAAAGCAAATTGGAATGTTCTGACACACTCACTAATGTAAAAATTAGTTCAATCTCACCAACAAGACATAACTTTTGATACAAAATCATATGGTAATATTTTTGTGTATTTGTGTAGGCATGTTTCTTCATTTAAACAATAGGTAATATTTTTGTGTGCATAATATTGTTTACCAAATTGTTGTTGCTAGGCTGCCTCTATTACATACAGATATAATTACGAGCCACAGTCTACTACAAATGCATAAATAAACAGCATAAGAAGGGGATCTGACAAGATAAATGTTTTTTAAAGAATTCTACAATGAACAGAGTAAATCTTGGCCAGGGCAAGGTACATTAACATCCCTCTAGTTAAGAAGAAATGCAAATGATAAAAATTTTTAATTAACCCTGATAAATTTGCTTCCTTTTGTTTAGATTTCCAAAAATTTGAAAGTGTCCAGGAGCTCAATAATTAAAACCAATTTTAATTAAGTGATTGCCTCATCTTCTGAAATGGAAACAGTTGTATTAACAGCAAGAGGAGGACAACATTTTTATAAATAATATATTAGGAAGGTGATAAAAGTACAGAAACAAGGCAAATAAGGAAATAGGGAGCAATGAAGGTTATGAAAGAGATAGACCAGCATTTTCATTTGTTTGAAATCAGCAAACTTAGATAAAGAAGAAAAGACAGGCTAAACAAACAGAGATATTTCAAGCAGTTATACGTATCCCTCTTTTCTTGCCTACCATTAATTATTTATTTAACATCAAAAACAGTTAAATACTGTGACTTAATATGGAGAGAAGAGTATATATTCTCTTTCCCATCCCATCTCTCCGATTAGCATGTCTGGGGTAGCGAGATTCTTTCACCCCATGCCTTCCAAATGTCGCCAGCCAATGTGTTGCAATGACATTAGGCTGATATGGAGCAAATAACTGACACAGTTCAAGATTGTAAACCTGGGCGTTCGCCAACCAAGTTGGTTATCTGTGATATCGTTTATGTTGCCCACTAATTTCCTAATACCATCTTATAAGAAAATAATGCTATAGTCAAGAAATATAATTTCTGGGAATAGGTTTAGTCACACGCCATCTTCAGTAACCAGGTGCGTGTGGTGATTACATAGCATACCCTAGCTGCTAGCGACCAACCTGCTTCCCCCTATCCAGCAGCATACAAAATAATCACAAACGAGATTCTATACCTCAATCGTGAGAAACAAAATAAACAATTCCATGCAAACAAGAAATAAACGCGCAATGTATCACTCATCGCTGGGGTTGAAAGCACGCCACAGTTAGTTACAACTCATTTGCTTCATTTATTCCTAATAGTCTACAGGGTGCAAAGCACTATGGCCGTGGCTTTCCGTTCATGTATATGGTTGCTTTAACAGAACAGTTTTATAAACAAACACGAACATACATGCGGATTCCTTGTAGAGAGCTGTTGACAGTGACATCTTATGAAAAATTATTCTTATGACGTGTGGTGCAATTACAAATATCTGTATTGAATGAAAGTGAGGTGGTCAGTTTTGACAAAAACACAGATTCGTAAAAAAATAGATAATGGAATGAAGAGATACTTGCAGGAATCATGTGGATAGCTATTGCTTATTCTTTACATGCTCTTTTCTGTACTCAAAAATTTTGGGAACTCCCGAAGTGTTTCCCCGGAATGTTATGATTAGGCAGGAACGTGCATTTGCAAAATTCAGTACGTCATGAACTATATATGAAAGTTCTTTAAATGCGAAAGAAAAGTGAACTCGTAACCAACGGAACATATTTTTGTGATACATTATTTTTCACGGAGGTACCATTTAACTGCTCTGAGCGAGCTCGGGATTGAAGTGAATTGCACATGGTTGCAAGGCGTGAAGTGGCAGTTTCCTCGAGAGGTGGAGAATCAAAATGAAAGTCTTGGCTTCGGAAGGACTCACTCGAAGAGGAAGTCGAGGTCGGCCTGGCGCAGCCGCTCGCGGTCGCGCTGCGCGCGCAGCTGCTGCACGGCGGCGAGGGCGTCGGCGCGCAGGCGCTGGCGGCTCTCGAGGGCGGCGCCGCGCTCGTCGTCGAGGGCGCGCAGCACCTGCTGCAGGGCGCTCTCGTCGTGCTGCAGGGCCTCGTGCACGGCGCGCGCGCGCTGCCGCAGGCGCAGCGCGGCCTGGCGCGCCAGGAAGCGGCCCAGCGCCTGCTGCTGGCGGCGCCGCGCCTCGCGCTCGCGCTCCTCCGCCACGCGCGCCAGCTCCGCGCGCAGCCGCGCCTCCGCCGCCGCCTCCTCGCGCAGCGCCGCCGCGCGCGCCTCCTCCGACCTGCCACGCACAAACAACGCGTCCAACGGCCATTTTCAAACTCTGCCCCTGGCGGGTACCAGCTGCTGACGGCTTCATCCTATCGGGCGCTTGAACACTAAGGTGACGTTCAAACCGTCAACGGCTGATACCTGCCAGGGGCAAAGTCGCACAAACCGCAATAAAGCCACTGAGTGTGCGTGTGTCACGAAATTAAGCACTGAATGTAGGTGTGTCTAAGAAAAAGGGGAAATGTAGGACAAGGAAGAGGAAGGAAAGATCACGCACACGAACAAGCTCCGCAATAACAAAATTTTTAAATTCAATAATAAAAATCAGCAATAACTCATATATGTAAAATAACTCTTAATAATACAGACGATTCTTACATCATTTGACAAAAGAACAATTCCAATTCTGACCAGCGATTTCTATCCCTATAACGACCAGAAGATTTTGCTTGGCGAGTTAAAGCGCTGAGATCAACGCAAATCGACGAAAAACTAAAAACCTAACGAAAAACACAAATTTGTGAATTGACAGACTCGGGGTACACATGTCTGCTCCGTATGGCGGGCACTCCTGTGATCGGAACGAATTTTAGGCCTTTAGAAACCTAACCAGAAAGCTGTCAGAATTGCAGTGAACTCGCGACCGCTAATGACGCTACTAACCTCCCGCGTCACTTTACAGCGCTTCGAGTCTCGGAAATACACATACATAATAATACTGTTGTTTCGTATGGATTCTTAATGCGACATATTGGATGTCCTTTAGTTCTGGATGTTCAAATGAATTATCCTTGCTTGCCTGTATAATGTACTGTAAATATTATGACAGTTGAGTTTCATGTTTGTTTCTTTTGCAGTTAGTAAGAAAGGGCAACTGTTTTCGTCTATCGAATCATTGCAACTACGCGTTGCAGGCGCTTCGTTTAAATTTGACTGCGTTATGCCGTTTTCAAAGATGTCTGAAATGACGGTAGAAATTGCCATATTATATTACGTAAACGTAATAATGCGAAAAAGAATGTGCTATTGGAGAACATTCTAGAGTTCGTATTGCAGAAAATGTTATAAAAAACCTAAACCTTAGGTGTTTTTTTTAGAACATTAGCTCTAAAACAAACTAGAACTGAGTTCAAATCCCTGCGTGTCAAAATGTTGCTGGAAAAAGTAACATTATACTTGGTTTTTATTTCTTGGCGCGCGAGGCCTTGTCTTCACGATGGCATATCTCTCGGTATTGCGCGTCTTTCTCGGTCGTGTCGCTAATGTGGCACCGTATCGAGCAGTGCTGGCGGTCATGCGACATTTAGCGGCACGACTGAGAAAGACGCGCAATACCGTGAGATATTCCATCGTGAAGACAGGCCTCGCGGGCCAAGAAATTCAAAGCCAAGCAAGCACAATGCGACGTGAGGGTTGCAAGCGGCGCGTGGACTCTCACTTGAGGTGCCGGAGCTGCTCGTCGAGGTGGCGCTGCAGGTCGCGCGAGCGCCGCTCCCGCTCCTCCCGCTCGCTGCGCGCGCGCGCCGCCTCCTCCGCCGCCGCCCGCGCCGCCGCCTCCGCCGCCGCCGCGCGCCGCCGCTCGCACTCCTCGGCCTCGCGCCGCCGCCGCGCCGCCACCTCCTTCTCCCAGGCGTCGCGCGTCGCCGCCGCCGCCTGCCGCCGCTCCACCTGCCACCGCACCCGCTCCTGTTGCACTCAAACTACACGGCTCAGTGCCTCTGGCCGGGAGGTCCTACGGTTCCAGCCCTGACGGTGACAGGATGTTCGACACTAGCTAAATACCTAGGTCGAGTTCAGCTGGTATCAGGAGGAGAATTTTAGCGGCCGGCTGCTTTGATCGGTGATTTTCTGTGGGTTTTTTTTTCGACTTATACCAGACGAATGCTGGGGTAGTACCCTAACAAACGGACCGTGCGCGATCTTTCACTCCTCTTCCTTGCCCTTCTCCCACTCTTTAATTACACTTACATACCCTACATAATCACACTTTAGGGAAGTCCTATCGGGAGCTTAGAGCTTGTCCAGGCTGGGATGGTGCTCACTTGGTAGGAGATACCTGGTTGGGGAAATCCTCCCAAGCCGACATAGGTCAACTCCGGATCTCGCCGTCCAGCGGTGAAGATCACCGCCACCTCCTGCACTTCACTTCCGAGGCTAATGACCTTAGCAGTTAACGCACCCGGAATCACTAATCAAGTAATCAACGGTCATTGCTCCCGTGAGTGGAACGCATGTGGCTATGCTCCTGCCCGCAGGAAGGTGAGATCAGGAGCCGGCCTGCATGTCGGCTTGCGGGGAACCACACCAGGCTTGACAAGCTCTAAGCTGCCGACTGGCCTCACGATATGTGAGATAGCGTAGTGTCTGCAAATGAAAGCGCTTGTGTATAAGAGGGGACGTTAAGACAAGGGAAAGGGGAATATTGCGCGCGGTCTGTGACCCGTTTGTCAGGGCATTGCTCCGGCATTCCCTTCGTATTGTTGAATGAATCCAGGGAAAACTACCGATTGAGCAGCTAAGTCCTAGATAAATCTTCGAGACAGCGGTTGGATTCGACAAGCTATCTAGCTGGTGTCGAGACTTCAACCCTTGAACCTGCCGGACAAAAGCGCCACAACGGCTACGGTTGTCGCTGAACCGCTTCCCCCGCGAGGGCAGCCTAGGCACGGCGAGTGACTGGGCAGCAACCTTGCGTTACGCAACCCTGTCACCGTTTTAGAATTCGTGCAAAGAATATTTAAAGAGAAAAACTTTCGTAAAATAACAGATAAAACAATAAAGACGAAAGAAGGCAAAGGTTTCTATCCAGCAGTACAGAACGAGAGATTTTTTGCATGCCACAGCATAAAGCCAGCAAGTGACTAACAGCGTGTGAAGTCAAAAGAGATTTTGCACAGCGTTTAGGTCGAAATGAAAGTGGTTCGGAAGTGTGGCGGCAGAGTGAGCGTCAATATCTGTAATGCAACATCCTCTTAATTCCCTTTACCCAGCAGAGGTGTCCCCCAACCACTGATCTGTATACATAATAACCATGTACTATTATGAAATATATAACAAGTATCATGATGAGTATTACGCGCAAGTTTTCTTGACATTCCACAGTCGACGGTACGAGGTGGATGTTGGCAGAATTGTAAATCGGGACGTGCCGTTCCGAGTCGGACCTAAGTATTTCAAAGGAGCACGTATTTGCTATTCAGCGCTGGCAGAGGTGTTGGGAGCTTGCGTGTCAAGAAGGGGGTGGGTGCGGGCTTACGTCACGGAGCGCCGGGTGGTGCAGGCGCCACTTGTGGTGCAGCAGCAGCTCGGCCTCGCGGCGCCGCCGCTCCTCCTCGCGCCGCCGCATCTCCCAGTTGGCGGAGCGCAGGCGCCGCAGCCTGGCGTCCTCGCCCTCGCCCTCGGCGTCGGCGGCGTCGGCCTGGGCGCGGGCGTCGTGCGCCGCCCGCTCGCTCGCCAGCTGCGCCGCCTCCGCCGCCAGCAGCGCGCTCAGCCGCTCGCGCCGCGCCGCCAGCGCCTCCGCCCCCCTGCGCACATGCCACTCTTAGGGAATTGCGTCTTTTTTTGTTTTTGTTTTGTTATTTACGCTCGGGAAACCGCGCTTAGCTCCTCTACGACCAACCATCTAAATGCGCGTCCATAGCAAATCCATTAGCAATCCGTTAAAATGCTTGAGAGTTAATTATAGTTATTAACGTCATTAGGCCGATAATCACCAAATAACAGACGCTGTTGAAGTTTGAAAACAGACGCGACAGCCAGGTTACAACCAACCAAGTCTGTTATTTGCAATATCGGCCGTGTGTCGTTCTATACTTTTCGTTATACTATCTTCTCACAAAAAAAAATATAAGAATTGAACCCTTTGATTCCAATACGTCGGAGTGCAACGCCATCTTCCACTTCAAATCTATATCATTCTTGCTTCAGGTGCGACATTTCCAAGACCAAGATTTTATCGTAAGTATTAGTATTAGAATATTTTTACTGGAATAAAATGGCTACTTAAAAAAGTTATTGTAATTTTTGGTATTTTTAGGGCATCCTTTTGTCCCATTTTCTCCCCTTTTACATTTTGTCCCATTTCGTCCCCTTCACCCAATCTGTCCCTTTGTCATATTTTCATAAATACCATGGTACATATATATGAAAAATACATTTTTTTAAATTACCACTGAATGTAATGCCATTCGAAGCCGAGACATTTATCTCCGTTAGTATTACTAGAGAAATATTCTAAAAGTGTTGTCCTTTTTGTCCCCGTTGTCCCATTTTGACTCCTAGTCTCTTTCCCATTTTGTCCCCAATGTTCCATTTTCTCCTCATTGCCTCATTCTGTCCCCAATTACATAACAGTTACATATTAATAACATATTCATTTCATACGAAGTGCAATCAAAAAGACGTAGGACTGATATTCTGTCGGTCAGACAAAGCGATGAAGGGGGTTCCGACTGGCTGGACGAGGTGGCGGGAACAGAACGCGACCTACCACAGTAGCCTGCGTGTCTTTGGAGTCTTTGGAGCACAGTTTCTCGTAAATCACTGTTCAGAAGTGTCGTCACGCTCAGCATGGAACGAAACCTCCAGCAGCTCTACCGCGTGTGTTGCTTGAAACTTCGAAACACCGCCACGGAAACCTTTGGTATGCTCACGCAGGCCTAGGGGGATGCTGCCATGATCGGCTCACTCACTTCGAGAGGCACAAGTTGTTCCGGGATGGCAGGGCGCACGTCGAGGATGGCCAACGCGCCGGTCACCCGTCAACACCAAGGGTCGACGAAAACGTGGCAAAAGTGAAATAACGTCTGGACTCTAATCGCCGGTTATCGATTCATATGATTAGTTAAGAGTTAAGCCTTTCTTACGGCACAATTCCAACCATCATTACAGAAGATTTGGTAATGAGGAAAACTTGCGAAGTAGTTTGTGACAAGAATCTTCAC